AGCTTTCATATGAAAGCTATAAATTAGTTTCATAGTAGGGCTGAGTACATTGGATACTTTTTCTTCCATTCTTGAGATACTTTGCTAAGAAGAATATTTTCCAGCTCCATCCATGTAAACACGAAGGAGGTAAAGTCTTCATCTTGCTTTAAGGCTGCATAATATTCCATGGTGTATATATACCACAGTTTGTTGATCCATTCATGGATCGATGGGCACTTGGGCTTTTCCCATGGCCTAGCAATTGTGAATTGGGCTGCAATAAACGAGGCCCAGAATAATGAGCTTGGTTCTGCAGGTGTGAAGGAATCAGGGTCCAGGACCAACTGATGCAGGAAAGGATGTAACACCAACAGATGTAGGCTGCTGGGGCAAACAGGGGCAGGAAGTAAACCCCAAGGTTCAAGAACATTTGCCCTCCTCCAGCCTTCCACTCTCCCTCTAGCACCCCCCGTGGGCAGCATCTTTAGGTAGACACCTGGCAAAGCAGAAACGTGGTTTCCGGAATCCCAGCCAAAAGTCACAAATGAGATATGGAAGGATAGCTTTGAAGCCGAGAGACAATAGCTCTCATATTATAAAGTTAACATAAACCTTATCACAGATTAAATATATATATTTGGTCAATTTCTGGACTTTAATCATTTCAGTGATCTGTTTAACTGTATCTCCACCAGTACCAAAGTTTTTATTATGGTACCTTTTATACATTTTGATATCTGGCAGAACTAGTTTCCCTTGTGGGTCTATTCCCCAAAATTTCTGGCTGTTTTGACATGTTTTCTATATAAATTATGTTATATGGGGTTGAATTTCTATGTGAATGAGAATTGTCTTGTCAGTGATTGTGATTGAATTAAATTTGTATGTTAATTTAGAGGACTAAAGAATTTACACTTCTTACCTAGGTTATTTCTTTCAATTTATTAAAATATTCCTTTGAGCTGTCTCCACAGAGTACAATGTTAGGGTTTTGTACATGCAGGTACTGTGGTTTCTTAGGACTATTTTATTCTTAGCCTCCCCCCCCCCCATTACTAATAAGGTGAATGTTTTCAGTGTATTTTCTCCTGGTTACTGTTTATATGAAAAACTTGATTTTTGAATATTAATTTTGTAAGTAGCTTTGTTTTTGAATTTACTTGTTTTTTAAAAATACTTTTTGATTGATTTTTCCCATTTTGACCAGGTATAAATAAATATTCCAATACGTAAGTTGTCAGTAATAATAAAATTCTGTCCTACTTTCTTCCATTTCCATCTTATATATCTTTCTGTTCTGTGATTCAATGGTTGATATTTTCAGAACAGTGTTAAATTATAATTGATTTAATCTACTTAAATCACCATCAGGCATGATACATATTTTTTGTTAGAGACATAAACTTAGTTTTATTAACAAGCATACTCATTATTATTTTATTAAAAGAGATTAAAACTCAGAAATTGATTTTTAACTTTTACAAATAGCTTTGGGGGAACTATTGAGAGTACCAATTTTCTCTCTCTCAAAATGTAGTGAATTATACTGATAGATAACCTTGAATTGTTCCAGCCTTATGTTTAAAAACTAAATCTACTTGTATATGGTTTATTATTCTTTTGTTTTGCTCAATTCTATAACACACTTGTATCCATACACATAAATGAGATGGATGTCTAGATTTTTCCATCTTCTTTGTCATGTTTTGGTATCAGTGTTATGCTGGCCTAGTTAAAGCAATTTGGACGATACCTTTCTCTCTGTATGCTCTGAAATAACGAAATAGACATTTTGTCCCTTGAATGTTTAATAACACACATCTCTGAAGCTTTTTAAGCCTGGAATGTCTTAAGGTGATAACTCTGATAACTTTTTGATTTCTTCTTAGGTAATTGGTGTTTTTAGGTTGCTGATCTCTTTAATGATTAACTGGGGCATTTATTTTTCTTAGAATGTATTTTTTTCCAAAGATTTTCACATTTATTTCTGAGCATTGAACAAAAATATTCTTATAAAATTTCTTATCTTCTCAGCAACAGTGGTTTGTACCAGATTGGAGTTTGGTGGTAGTACCTGTGGACTAGGACCCCTAGGGGAGGAGACAAAGGGCACTCTCTGAGTGAGAGAGCCCAGCTCCTGCCTCCAGCTCCATTCTGCCTTAGCCTCATGGTTGCTTCAACCAAAACTGACATGTTTATATTTGGAGTTTCAGCTTAAAGATTTAATTGGGGATTAGGTCACTAGAATAAAACACTGAAACACCACTGACCCAGAACTGTGATTTTAAAATAATACATTTGCATATATGATTAAGTATGACATACTAGTAGTTCTGCCTCACTTTCCCCTCAAAACAGAGTAGGAGTGGAGTGCACCTTTCTTTCTAGAAGCATTGTTTCTGACTCATCAATCATATCACGATAGTGTCATCTGTAATATAAAAGGATATGGCTTCTTCTCAAAGAAGAGAAATTGAGTCAAGAACACAGCCTCACACAGGGTAGACTTATCTAAGTGTCTCTCTATGCCAGACTGATCTCAACTGCCCTGGGGAAACAGTTAGTTTAGCACTGTCATTATTATCCCTAAGGTATTTTCAGAAATTTTAATTTTTTCCCTACTGTTGAAAGCAAACAGATGATGCTGTAGACACAGTTTAATACCTATCACTTCAGTGAATTGGGTGATTTAGTGGTAGTACCAGGGCTGTTTATGTTGGAGAGAGAGACTCGGGGGCCCAGGAGAACTAGCTTCATATGTCAGAAGAGATAAGACATTTTATGTAGAGGTACAAAGCTGAATTAGGACTAAAAGGTAGACTCGACTGGAGATAGGCATAAGTCAGCACAATTAAAGGAAGAATTTGCTGGTAGGGCTGAATGAACAGGAGATCTTGGAATCGTTGATTCTCCTTCACTGGAAGTGTCCAAGCAGACGCTGGACGGCTGGGGTCGGGGGCATGGAGGGAAACTTCCTGCATCATGTAGATGGGGGTGAACAAGGAGACCTGTGAAGCCTCTTCTAGCAACGCTGTATGGCTCTGTAAATGTCTGAAGTTGGCTTGCATGGCCGCTAGATGTCACTCTGGTGTATTCGCAGGAGCAAGATGATGTTTCTTCTAGTGCAAGTGGAGTTCAGGAACTTAGACTAATGCAAGAAAGTGAAATTTTATTGAATTTTGATTGAGTGAAATGAGGATTTGCAATTCATTCTTAATCAATATGAGAAAATTTAAATATCACTTTAAGTGAAATTTTCCAAAATCTATTCTCAAAATGGGATTCACTTTTTAAATTTTCTTTTTAAAATCAGTCTTGATATTCTCAGGATTTGGTATAACTTGCCATAAAACCGCTTCCTTTCTTTTTTCTTTTTCTTTTATAGAATGTACTCAAGGAGGCAATTTTTTCTTTTAAAGTATTATTTCTTTTTTCTTTCTTTTTTTTTTAGGGGACAGTCTTTCTTTAGTCCTTAAGAAATCAGCTCCTTACATGAGCTTTGGTGGAGGTCCTGGGGCAGCACCTACAAATCTAAACTGGGGTAGAGGTGTTCAGTTCTTGTGGGCTTCGTTAAGCCCATTGATGACTCTCGTGCTGTGAATGGCGCAACGCACACAGTGATGCAGCTTCACAAACAGCGTAGGAGGCACTTGGACCTTGAAGACGCTCACTCCAGAAATGTCCCTGGCATCTGGGGCTTCTACCATAAAACCTCTTCTTTTCATGCACAGCCATCTCTGAACCTCTCATATGTCTTCTGTCTATTGGCATGGCGCACAGCACTGCACGGCATTCGTTAATACTACCACTCCTGTCTGACATTCCTATGGGGTTTACAAGTTACAAAACATGCATTTATAGCATTTTATTATTGGATATAAAATTGAGTGCTTAGATTTTTGTAGCTGAAGAAATAGATTGAGAGGTTAAGCAACCTGCCCAAGGTCATAGATAAGAAAATGCTCCCCAGTTTTTATTGTGCTGAACGTCGGTGGCTCTGAAAATGTTACAGACTTTATACCCTGCTGGATGTTCACAATGGACCTTTCCATAATAAAGGCTCTGAGCACACCTGGAATAAAGAACCTGTCCAAGTCTAGCCCTAAAGTCTTCAAATTATTTAGATACCATCTGGCTCTATCTATCTAGTCTGTCTATTATCATCATCATCATCAGTCAATCAATCTAGTCAGGCTACTTATCTATCCATCCATCTATCTTTCTATCTATCTATAATCTCCTTTTCTTTTTCTTTTCAGAACATCAGTTAGTATCTATCAGAATACTAGCATTTCTGTTAGCAAATGCTATTAGTAATGAAAGTCAAATTCAAGTTCTAGTTTCTTTCTTGAATTAATTTAATTTTTAGCAGTGTTTCATAATTTGCAGTATACCTAGAAAAAATAGGCTCAATATGTCACAACTAAAAAGACACTCAGTTATCAAAATAGATGATTCCCAGCCAAAAGCTGTCTGTGTGGAGAACTTGCCTTTGCCTCTGCTCAGCCTTTCATGGAAACTGAATTTAATAAACTGAAACCCTGCCAGACAGTTCCACTTCCTCCTGGTTTCTGGGATTCTCCTGATGACACCAACAGGTTGGAAAAGTTGCTATGAGAACCTCCCCACTTGCCTGTGCTAACTCTAGAGCTCAGACATGGTAAGGGCCATTAGGCCTGCTCCCATGGCTGCCGTGTTACGACCTCTGCATGTGTTCAGAATGGCTTCATTACAGTCAATTAGCACATTTATTGAGTCTAGCATCTATTGAAACTTTCAGACTTATGACTCAAACTTAGGAGATTGCATTTGAAAAGTTTAACATTTCCTGCAAATAGACTTAGGAATCAGAGATCATTCTGGTTGACTTGACTTGGTTTTTGAATGGAAGCTGATGCAACTATGATTCTTTTCTTCCACGTGGGTGGCAACCACAGAGGATGCCTCCACCATCACTGCGTGAAGCACTTAGGATTCACCAAGTTCCTCACAGCAGCCTTCACATCCTTGTTCCTCAGACTATAGATGATGGGGTTCAGCATGGGGGTCACCCCCCCGTAGAAGAAGGGGATGAGTTTATCGGAAAGATCCTGTTTTTCAGCCCCCATGGAGTCCTTAGATTTGGGCTTCCCATACATGAAGAATAAGGTCCCATAGAAGATGATCACCACCGTGAGGTGGGCAGAGCAGGTGGAGAAGGCCTTTTTCCTCCCCTCAGCTGAGGAGATCCTCAGGATGGTGGCAATGATGAACACATAGGAGACAGAGATGAACAGGACTGGGACCCCCAGTAAAATCACATTGGACACCTCTGTGATGATCACATTAATGGAGATGTCAGTACAGGCCAACTTCAGGATAGCCAAGATCTCACAGGTGAAGTGGTTGATGACATTGTCCCCACAGAAGGGCAGCTGCATTGCTAAGGATGTGTTTACCACTGAAGTGACACCACCAATAGCCCAGGAGCTGATGACCATGGGCACGTAGGCAGCCTTGCTCATGACCACAGAGTACCTAAGGGGATTACAGATGGCCACATAGCGATCAAACGCCATCATGCCCAGGAGCAGGCACTCCGTCCCTGCCATGGCAAAGGAGAGTGCCATTTGCACAGCACAGCCTGAGAAGGAGATGGTTTTCCTGGGAGTCAGTAAGCCGTCCAGGACCAGAGGGAATGAGGAAGTTGTGTAGCAGATGTCCAGGAAGGAGAGATTCCCCAGGAAGAAGTACATGGGCGTGTGCAGGCGGGAGTCCAGGATGGTCACCAGGATGAGGACCCCATTGCCCAGCAGGACTGCCAGGTAGATCGACAGGACGAGTGCAAAGAATATTTTCTCCAGCTTTGGGTGGGCAGAGAGGCCCAGGAGAATGAAGCCCATCACAGGGGAGGACTGATTGGCCTTTTCCATATGGTGTTCCAGCTGTCATCAGCAAAGTAGAAGCAGCACATCACACTTTCTTGGGAAAAGTCCCAGGTGTTCAGGATGGGATCAAGTCCCTGCCACAATCAGAACACAAGTGTGTGAGAGAAAGGTGACAGAGACAGTGGGGTGTGTGTGTGGCATCCTAAGCAGTCGTATGTACCTGCCCTCCACTATAGCACAGGAGGGTGCTCCTGTCTGCTCAGTGCACACTCACCCACCTGGGTGCCCCACCATGCACTTCTGCCCCAGTCTATCTCCTGTTCCTCCCAGGGTCTCTCCCTACTCCAGGAAATGAAAAGGCAAACGGTACAGTCAGTGCCACAAACCAGATTCAACAGTGACAAGGAGATGCTGCAGTTGCAGAGGGCATAGAGAGTGACTTCTGTCAGGGAAGCCACATGCCCCCTCCCACCAGATAAATCTCCTCACACAGAGGCATCTATCTTCCCACATGTGGGCACAAGTGACACGTGAGATCTGGAAGCCTCAGTGCCTGTTACATAAAAGCTGCTGAATTCATTTGTTCAATCAGAGTGAACTGAACAGCTGGGAGGATGATGAACTCTGGGACCAGAGCTGATGGGATTGTCTGACCTCAGTTTCCCCTTGCACAAGAAGGCTGAGCAAGTGCTTCCCAGGACATCCCAAATCTTGAGAGCTGTTGTGGACCACCTTGTCCTGTCCTCCCAGGCAGGAAGCAGGCTTTTGTAAAGATGACTGCCCACCCCATGGGTGTGAGGGGTGTGTGTATGTGTGTGCCTGTGTGTGCATTAAGGGAGATCAGAATTCTTGCTTGCTCATTCAGGAAACTTCAACAGGAAGTAGGGCTGTGTCAGGTTCGAAGGAGACTCCAGGTGGAGGTGAAGAAAGAGCTCTGGCACCTGCAGCCCGGCAGGAGGAGGGAGAGCAGGAGACGAGCAGGAGGAGCCAGCAGGAGCTCAGAGTTGAGGGAAGGCTTATACTTCAGTGGCTGCATCCAGCAGATGTGGGGCCTCAGTTGTCCCAGCGATCTGTCTTGGTGGATGATCTCAGCCCTATCTGTCTCTGCAGCCAGTGTGGTGTGAACAGAGCCCCGAACACTCTCATGCAGACTTTCTGGAAAGTAATTTGCCTGGAAAAATGAAAAAATCCAAAAACCTTGCCTACCCATCACTTCAGCAATGTTCCCCTAGGAAGCATTCTAAAGAAACAATGAGAGAGGATGGCCAGTACCTCTCAGTCAAGCTGGAATTATTCATCACAGCAACCTTTGTGCATGAAAATAGGAAAGGAGAAATGCCTAAGAAACCATTGCATTCCATATCATGGAAAATTGAAGCTTAAAGTTGTGTTTAAAGTTTTTCACATGATAATATTTTACAGTATAATGATAAAATAAAGGGTAAAATCTGAGTTGTACACACTTTCATGATCTTGATTAGGTAAAAAAATATGTGTGGATAAGAAGTGACTGGGAAAAAATTATCACAAAGCCAACAGGTGCAGGGAATTCTCGGTGCCGCCTCAACATTTCCCCAATTTTCTCTTAGTAGGATCCCCTGACCTCACCCTTTTGCCCCATTTTCCTTGAGCTTCTCTTCTTCACCTGCAGAGTAGGGAAGGCATCCTTGCCAGCCTCCCTCTTGGGCTTCATGAGAGGACAGAGCAGCAAGGACAGTGACTTGGGCATGGGGCACCCTGGAGGGCCTGGTGGCTCCTCTCAGCTTTGGCACTAAGACCAAGGTCAGCTGGAAGGTTTCTGGGAGCTTAGGCAGGAAAGCAGGTCTTAGAGAAAGGCTCCGTGGAGGACACCCCCTTTGTCCTTGGCCAGCCCAGTTCTTGTAGCTGTTTCCTACCTGGTGGCCACTTCTCTGAGTCTCCTGATCCCAGAGACCCTCCAGATCAGTCTCTGGCCAGACAGACATACCCCTGACACTCCCCTGCCTGTTTCTTTACCTTAGAGACTGTTTTTCCTCTTTTTCCTCCTAAATCTTGTGGGAAGACTAGGCTGTGGGGGATGTCTTCCTTCCTTCCTTCCTCCCAGCTGTGCCAGGTGAGTGCTGCTGTCTCAGCCACAGGCGCTTCATGTAGAGGACCTGGCATCCTGATCTGGGTCCTGGACATCCTGAGGGTGAGTTTTCCCCAGCAGCTGGAGTCCCCAGGCAGCACTGTGGACTCCACTGAGGCCCTGACTCCCTCATTATTCCAGCAGGGGCCCTGCTAATCCCACAAGCAATTTAAAGTTTGGAATGTCACGTGTGCATGGGGCACAGGCCCTATGCATCTCTGGGGGCTCCTGGGGCTACACCTCCCTTCCAGTTAGAGGCAGGGACAAGACCATGGCCTTCTGGAGATGGAAAGGAGTCCTCAGAAGTCCTGGTTTCTTCCAGAGCTTGGCCTGAGTTCTCAGAGAAGCAAAGGCAGTGTGTGCTTCAGAGAAGAGCACCTTGTCCCCAACTTGATGTCCTGGAGATCTAGAATGGGACAGTGGACATATGTCTTGCAGCAACAGTAGCAGCAGCAGCAGCACTAGTAGCACTATTCCAGGGACCGAGCTGCCCCACATGCTGAGCACCACTGTGACAACTTTTTGTAGGTTATCTGAATTCAGTAAAATCCAGCAACACGTGGGTATTGAGTCCCTCTTCCAGTCTGTCGAGGGAGATTTATATTATTATCCCATTATATTTTTGTCCTAAGGAACAGACTTTTAAGTTAAACAATTAACAATGACCCAGTGAGTGGCAGAGTTGGGACACTTGATCCTCTTTATTATCATTTGTTATGATTAGCATCGCCACCACCACGATTATTGTCATTCTATCAGTAGGTATTACTTGTGCTTGGAACTAAACTACAAGATATAGAAGTATATAAAGTGGTGGCTCATGCCTGTAATCCTAGCACTCTGGGAGGCCGAGGTGGGTGGATTGCCTGAGTTCACTAGTTCGAGACCAGCCTGAGCCAGAGTGAGACCTTGTCTTTAAAAATAGCCAAGTGTTGTGGTGGGCACCTATAGTCCCAGCTACTTGGGAGGCTGAGACAAGAGAATCTTTTGAGCCCAAGAGTTTGAAGTGAGCTGTGATGCCATAGCACTCTACCAGGGGCAACAAAGTGAGAGACTCTTTCTCAAAAAAAAAAAAAAAAAAGAAAGAAAAGAAAAATAAAAAATTAAATAAAGCCTCTCTCTCCAATCGTGTAGTTATTCTCTAGGAGGCAACCAATACTAGCAAGTTTTTATATGCTTATTTTCCCCCAGAGATATTCTATAGATACACTAATACATATTTTTGAAACAAATTTACTCAAATACACATAGCCTTAATATCTTGCTTTAGTCACTTAAAAATACACTTTGGTGAGTTGTCCCGGAAAAAAAAATAATGCTGCCTCATGCTTGCTTATTTATTTATTTATTTATTTTTTGTTTGTGAAACAAAGTTTCTGTCGGTTGCCTGGGCTAGAGTGCTGAGGTGTCATCTAGCTCACAGCAACCTCAAACTCTTGGGTTCAAGCAATCCTCCTGCCTCAGCCTCATAAGTAGCTGAGACTACAGGAGCCCACCATGACACCGAGCTATTTTTTTCTATTTTTAGTAGAAAGGGGGTCTCACTCTTGGTCAGGCTGGTCTCGAACTCCTGAGCTCAAGCAATCCACTCACGTTGGCGTCCCAGAGTGCTAGGATTACAGGGGTGAGCCACTGTGCCCAGCCCTGCCTCATGTTTTTAAATGGCTGAGTATACTCCATAGTAAGGGTATACCCTTCTATAATTAGCCAGTCTGCTACTGAGTGTCATTTAGCATTTCCAAGTTGATTGCTATTCAGTGTTAATTACCCTTTCATACCAAGTTGATTGCTATTCAGTGATAACTACCCTTTCGTATTCATAATTTAACATATGTTGTTAAAATGTATCTGTTTTATGCTCATTTGTAGTTTTGATAGATGTGCCAATTTATACATTTATCAGTGAATGAGAGTGTCTATTTTTCCACACTCTGCCAACATATGTTCGTTTTTGAGATTTTTTTTAGTCTTTGCCAATCTGTTAGGTAAGACTTTATATTGCATTGTGGTATTTAAAAGTTAGTAGTCAACACTTTTGCTGTTTAAAAGAATTTAAAATGTGAAGTGTAACACATGCATGTGCACATTAATATAAGAGTATATGAAACACATCTTTAATTTAGGGACTCATAACATTATGTAAGAGATGGAACATTGCCAGTAACTTTGAGGCTTCCTGGGTATCCCTTCACGACCCCAGTACTCTCCTTTCCCTCCCATAGGTAAGCCCAGCTTATTTATACATTCTACTTTGATGATTAATTGGGTTGCTTCTAAGTGAATGCTACTATAAGTATTTTTTTTGGTCGGGGCTGGGTTTGAACCCACCACCTCTGACATATGGGGCCATTGTCCTACTCCGTTGAGCCACAGGCACCACCCATGCTATAAGTATTTTATACACTACTCCTGGAACATAATCATCTTCCTACTTTTCCTATTTACAACTCACCATTTCTCTACTGATCTGCAGTATCATCTCTTGTGTAAGAAGTCTCCCAACATGAATAAGTCTGTGAATTGTATCTCTAATCCTTTCTACTGGTTTATTGGTCTATTTCTGAGTTATCACTATACCACCCTAATTAATATTGTTCTATGGCTGGTTTTGATTTCTTACAGGGTAAATCTCTTCACCCCTCCCAATATCTCTTCAAATGTGCCATGGCTGTTTGGGTCCTTTTGTTCTTCTGTTATTTTCACTTGTTCAATTTTGTTTGTTTGTTTTTATTTAGCAGACCCGGGCCAGGTTTGAACCTGCCAGCCCTGGTCAACAGGGTTGGTGCTCAAACCATTGTGCTACAGGCGCCTAGCCCCTTCTGTATAAACTATACAACCTGGTTCTTAAATTCTGTGATAATTCTTTCTATGATTTAAAAATTGGGATTACATTGACTCTCTGCATCAATTTGAAGATGACTAACAATTTTATAACATCGGGCTTTCCAACCCATGAGCAGTAAATAGTTCTCTCTTTATTTTAATATC